GGGAGTTTGGAAAGGATGGGATGTGGGAAAATACAATGGGGGATTGGCAGAAAGATTGGCTTAATGCTTTAGGCTAACAGACCTCTTCGTCCTTGATCTTCAAGAGGAAATGCACGTAGCAGGGGGTTGGGAAGTAATAACATTCACAGCACATGGGTCCTTTACATATGCCCTCAGGTCTATGTGACCAGTCATCAGAAGTTCACTTAATGGGCATCATGACCTTTCCAGGTTCATGCTATTTGGCTTCTGTGTAACTGCTATTATAATAAAACGCAACAAAATATTTGTACCCCAAAATAATGTGGGGTATACAGGATGTGGTAACACTGAGGTTGTCATTCTTTTCCAACCAGATGTTGAGGATGAACTGGAATCATAAAGGGTGATAATACTTGGGGTGGTCAGGGCTAGTCTTTTCCTCCTGCATGGGGTCTCAATAACAAATTCTCCTCCCAAAATCCTGCATGATTCTGATTGGCTGCAATGGGACCTCCCCCCCCCATACATCTATAGCTTTTATTTATTTATTCAATCACCCAATTTATGCCACAAACAGGGCTCAGTTTGGCTTACAAAAAAGGTAAATAAATAAAAATAAAAAGACCAAATATACTTAAAAGAAAATAATAATAAAAGCATAGAAATTGTATGTGTACCCTGCGTATTTCTCTTACAAAAGGAAGTATGAGAATGTTCTATTTTGTACAATATGGGGGGGGGGGATGGCAAGTAAACACTTTTATTTTCTGCTCCCCTTTCAACTGTGCCAAATCTGAAGCCACTCAAAAGGATTCTCCACAACACAACCTGCAGACATCTGAGTCACAATCTGTGTTTTGGCCATGATAGAAGGTTCTAATCATGTATGCAGTAAGCTTAAGAAGAACAATCCACATACTGTGAAAAGAAATACTTAATATCTGGCATTGCACAAGTTATATGTTGCACAGGTTATATGTTGATAAGGTTGGAAGAAGACAGTAGGATTACAAGTAGTGCTGTTTCTGCACAAGATTCTACATGTAATCTGTGTACCTACCACATTGTTTTTTAATATCAAACACAATATTGGCTTTCTCTCTTTCATAAAACACACCATAAGAACAGAACACTACAAAGACAACTCTCTCTCTCTCCACACACACATACACACACACACCAGGACATCTCTGAAAAGCACAATAAATTCCTACCTCCAGAGACTGACTCTCTCTTTACACAAAAGAACAAGAGAGTTAATGAAAACTTGGATGGGGAGCAGGGAAGAGACAACACAAAAGAAACTCAGCAGTATCACTGTAAGAAATGAACTCAGTGTGAATGTAAAAGCTTTGACAATTTGGTTTTATCTTAGTTTGATAATGTCATGATCTAGGAAGAAAAAGATTCAGATAATTCTAGAAAGTGGATTAATATCCTTGAGGTCTGAAAAATTTAATCTGGACTCAGTCTACACTGGGCTCCTATGAATAGGCACATGGGGATTCTTGAGAGGGAAGATTGGTTTAAGGGTCGAAAGATAGGAATTTCCAGAGCAGTCTAGAACTGCTGAGAGAGTGAACTGGATGAGGGTTATGTGGGATGGAAGGGGAAGGTGCAGCTGTGAGACAACCCAGAGTATTAGAAAGCAGCAATTACGGTAGACCTCCAAAGCAGCAGGAGCATCCTCCATTTCGGTTTCCCATGGTTCCCAGCTTTCTCAAACTCATATTGCATACACAGAACCAACCAGGTTCAACACTCTATATGCAGCATTCAGACCATTAATGAAATCTTCATGGACATGCCCTCCAACAACACTGTACAGAGAAAAAGCTGCAGAAGGCCCCATTTGCAGCTTAAACACCATAGCAAGATATTGGGTCTCAAGGCTCTGGAAAATCCTCAGTGGCAGGATTCAGAACCAGAGTGGAAGAATGGCTTCTTGCGATCCAGTCACTATGTTTCTCTCCATGTTGTTATTATAATGCTTCTTATCATGGAGGTTGGATTAGAAGGCCCTTGAGGTCCCTTCTAGCTCTAAGATTCTATGTAGATATCAGTCCTATATGAGCAATAATCCTTTAACAAAAAGGTTAACACACACAGAAAACCCCTTTTGCATTAAATTAGCCATTGTCAAATATACCTCCTTTCAGAGGCATACTTAATGTGATCAAATTGATTTTACTGTGAGATTAGCTGTATTTTTTTTACAAGGGTGGAATAATAAACCAAAAATGGAGAGTGGGTGTGAAAATAAGGGCTATTGATATAAATACTGAGATTGAATATCAACAAGCAAAGGAAATGAAACAGCCAAGCTGTTGAGTAACATTTTTCAGCATTAGGAAAGGGAACAAAATATGAAACAAAATGCAATAAAACCATAATGCAGAACAAACTCAGACATGCTTACCTTAATGCAAACTGCCTAGCTGCATTAATATAAAGAAAGCATTTTTAAAATTTAAGGGGGATGCAGACCGGCACTTCAGGCCAGCTTGGGGGTAGAGTTGGGTTGGGGTGACCACACACTGGCCACCCTGATGCCGTGCGCCCATTCACATGGCACGCAGCATTAGGGCACCCCGTTGGCGCAGTGTGCGCACACGTTGCACCGAAGGGGCGCAAAAGAGCTGCAGTGGCGGCTCTAAGGGCAGCTTTTTGCTGCCCACAAAAGGAGCAGCATTTGCTGCTCTTTTGGGAGTGGCAAAAAGGAGGATCGGGGCCATGGCATGTGGTTGCCGTGGCCCCGATCCGCTTGCTCCAAGGGGTGGCATAGCGCCACCTCTTTCGGGCCGTCTGCATCATCCCTTTGTCTGCAGAGAAACGGTTGCAGCTGATTACATTCTACCACCAGTCAGAGCTCATTCATTAACAAAGATTAATAAGTGAGACCTGATGAAAAGTATTTTCAATGAATTGGTAATCTTTACACAGATGATGAGAATTTTTGTTGCTTCATTCATCAGATTGTTGCTGCTGCATATAAGTCCATCTATCTCAGTTCTGAGATACCCTAAGTTTGTCACCATTAGCTGCTATATTATTATATCTGAAGAAGTGCAGAGTCATGATGTGTGTGTGTAATGTGTGATAAAGGCCAGTACATCTGCTGATCATATCCTTGGAAGGAGCCAGACCACTGACTTGTATTGGACTGCATCTGGACTTTATGAATAATGTGTAATGTATGATGTAATGCCCGATACAAGGTCTTAGAAGACACAGCTCAGAGTGAGCAAGTGTGGGTCATTGGATTTGTGAGTCGGTGTGGAGAGTCAGTGCAGTGAATTGGTCTGTGTTAGTGAGTATACTGTAAAGTTCCTGTATAGCTCTGTGTTGCTGAAAGGTAGAGAAGGATGAAGCCTGTGTTTGCTTTCATCCTGGAGCTCTACTACTTCTGTATATAGTTATCTCCTATCCTCTGTAAATAAAGCCTTCTCCTTGAGCAGCCCAGTTCTTCTTTCTTCTTTGGAGAGCATCTCAAGGTCCCTGCTGAGATACTGAAGCGCATTCACACCACGCCTCAGTGTGACAAAGTTGCCTATCTTACAAGAGTAGTTAGGGAGTATTATTATCAGAAAGGGGAAAGACAGATGATGGATTTGCTGAATCTCATAAGAAGCAATCTTTGAGACACCCCCAGTAATTGAAGATCAAGGAGGAACTGGCTTCAGAAGCTCTGAACTTTACTTACCACATTGTTCTTTAATATCTAACATACTGTTTACTTTTTCTATTCCATAAAACACGCCAGTAGAGCATAAACAGAACAAATACAATGCACAAATTCAAGCTCAAAAATGCTATGGTTACTATCTCCATCTTTTGTTTGCTCATTCATATTCAATCTCTTCCGGGCCTCCGGCAACCATTCAAGGTGGAGTCAATCATTTCTATTATGAGAAAGGAATTCCTGAACTAGATGTCATCAACACCATGTTGAAAATGTTCAGATGATTTCAGGTAGCAGTTGTATGTAGATGTTAAAGAGCATAAGAAACAAAAGAAATGCTGCAGGGAATGTCTCACAGGGCAGAACAGTTGTCCACACCAGTTTTTTTTGTATCAACATGATACCCTTCTTTATGATTGTCAATCTAGCACCTGTGGACTGTGGTGTAAGAACATTTGTGTGCATGGACTTCTTTTTCTTCTTCAGCTCCTCTGAGGTGACATTTCCAGGGAATCTCAAAAGTCTTAGTTCTGAGTCTTAGGAGATTATCTCACATCGTAAAAATGCAACTTACCTCTCCTGAACTGAAGTCTAACTTGTGCTGCATCTGGGTCCTATCGCATGGCTTTTGTCACCAAATCCACCATC